GAAGACTCTGCTCTTGAGTTTGGAAGTCATAATTACGATATGATGTGCGTCCAAGTGAACTTTTAAAGGTAGGGTATATTTCTCTCTTCTCTCTTACGCTTTATTGGCAAAGTCAAAGGGGTCATGAACTGAGAAGCCAAAATTCCCTTGATCTTTTGACATATAAGAGGTCATTCTACGTACTATAAAAACATCCTGTAATTTTCAGAACTCAAAACTTTCTTGTTAGTCTATAAACAGCTTATATTGAAGCTAGTCTGCCAAAACAACAGGTTGTGGAATGTACCACTTTATGATGTAATAGTGTGGCTAAACACCGCCCCCGCAGAGGAAGATCAACTCCTGCTTCTACATCACTGCCTGTTTAGCCCCACCCACTGATTGTGCATGTAAATCAAAAGATAAAAGATGTTCCAAAGACAACAAGATGCTGTGCAGTGGAAAAACACAGTCTTAGCATTGCATTCTTTCTGATCCCAACATTAGGAAAGAGAGGAAGAACTTTATTTTTAATGAAGAACCAGACCGCGTCAGTAAGAAATCGGTCCTTTGTTCACTTCATTTTACCATGGATACAAACACGTATACATTTTCAGAAAAGGATTTTCAGAAAGACTGAAACTGAAAGATGATGCTGTGCCGACTATATTGGATCCGACAGTAACTGTTTTTATTACATGATCACTATTGCGTTGTCTGTTAAACAGATAATTTGATATTTACTGAGTATTCTTGCGTTTTTAACCTAAATCACTGCAGCATCCATCTGTGAAGGATGTAGGCTGTCAAACATAAACAACTGCTAGCCAATCATAGCAGTGGGCGTTTACTTCTGAGTCTACAATCCACCACACCTATTCAAACAGAGCGTTCTGATGAGGGGGTTAAAACAGGACAGAAAATAGCCTATTATAAATTATGATGTTTTTTGATGTAAAAATCTTGATAATATTATAAGTGGACCTCAAAGAACAGTACAAAATAAAAAGACTAAGGCAGTTCGGGACCCCTTTAAGGTGTTTGTTTACCCCTAATTCAACATACATTAGACCTGAATAAAGCTTTACTTGTATATATTATTAAAATAAGATAATTTTGGTGTTTTCCAGCAAGATTTATCAACAGCACAGAAGTTGTACTGTAATATTCACAAGTAAAACTTAACCATGACTGAAACCAAACTGCCAATGGAAAGTTGGGGCTATAACTAAATTGTGGAGGTGTTTATGTGCACTCATCCCATAAATACGATCATTCTAACATGACTTGAAGGCAGCGTTAAAGAAGCAAACAAACCCACACAAACAATGACATCTTTCATTTATATTAGTAAGTCCAGAGGCATGAGGTCCAGGAATGACGTAGGGCGGGCCTGCCAATAAACTTGATGAAGCGATGACCACCTGGCCTACAATTCTGGACCCATCACCTCATCGTCTCTTTGGGACTCAATAATCTGGCCAGTGGTGACACAATGAGCATTAAGTGCGCCTCCTCACACACTGTCAGCTGTATTCTGTTCCCACGACCACATGGGTATGAGTATACGGACTGACAATATGATGAGCAGAAAGACTGTGATTAATTTTATATAAATCTAAAAAATCTTAACATATGAATACTTATGGTTATTGTTGAGCGGTAATTGTATCAAAGGCCAGTTTGTCCATTGCTGTCCAAGATACCAGCTGGTAACATTTGTCAGTTAAAAAAAAACATTTGAGTCCACCGTAAACCAGAGTTAGCATTGGTACACCACAAAGAGCCATATGTCGCTCATTAAAACCTCACTGAGCATAAGCGATGAATACCAGCTCGTTCCCTCGCTGATGGAAAGGAGTTTATCTATTAGCACACGCTCCATAAATATTTACAACAGATGATGAAAGAAAACACCCATGTTGTTACAGAATTATCCAACTGCCACAAAATCAGGTCAGGAATGGAATGGCTTAAAATCACAGTTTGTCTAACGAACATCAGTTGAGTGATGTAACATTCAATTAGTAGTAACAACTGATTTGATGAAATGTAGGTAAGTGGGTGCTAGCCATAGTAGGATTACCGCTTACCACTTGTGTGTCGTTCAGTCTACTGCCAATGCGAATGGTTGGCAGGGGCTTCTGCGGTTATTATAGTTGCTAAGGCCTTGCTTGAAATCAATGATTTTTGGTTAACCCACTTTAAAGGATTAGTTGACCCAAAAATGAAATTTTATAATGCTGTTTCAAACCCATATGAATTTACTTCTTCTGAAGAACATAAAAGGAAAAAAACTTGTCAAATTGTACTGGTTGCTCTTTTCCATTTTCAACTTTATAAAGGACAAAAAGCACCATAAAACAAGCATCATGAAAGTGATCCATACAATTTATGCACTATATTCAATGTGTTTTCAAACCCTTATACAAAGGTATTGAAGGGTTTTTAGAAAACTTCCAATATTATGTACAAATTGTTTAACTACTTTTGTGACCAACGAAAGGTCATAAACGTGCCTCAACCTACATTTTTGCAAAACACCAAAAATGTACCTATACATGCAATTCACTGCTGTTTCCAGCTGAAATGACCATCAGTGATGTTGGTAAATCCTGTTTACACAAATAATGATTAAAGGTAGAGCCCGACCGATATATTGTTTTGCCGATATTATCGGCCGATATGAGCCTGTCGCCGATATATCGGTATCGGCCCCAAAAAACCCATATCGGTCGGGCTCTAATTAAAGGTGTGGATTATCGATCTATAAAGCTTTATTTTCATGCAGTTCATTTCCAAACTACTATGATACTTTCAACCACCAACATAATATGTTTCCAGATTCACATTAATCTGTTTCGGATAAAACTAAATGTGCTTTTAGCGCCAATCAGCGTTGTTTGTGACACTTTTATTGTGCTTTTACATCATTTTGAAGCTTAAAAGCATCAGACCTCACTCATGGTAATTGCATTAAAAGAGCAACCAGCACATTCTTCATTTATCTTCCATGGAAAAGTCATTCAAGTATGGAACGACATGAGTAAATCACCGAATTTTCATTTTTTGATGAATTATTCCTTCAAAAGCTCAAAAGAACAAAAACAACAGCCAAAATAAGTATTTTTTCCCATAAAGATTTAGAGATTTTGGCTGGAACTAAACCGAGAACCAAAGTCTTGGTGAATCCGATTCTTTTTCTTCCATTTCCGTTATTTTTTACAGCTGTTTAGATATTGTGACAGCTGCATTTCAGATCTCTCTTTCTACTTCGTTTAGAACACAAACTCTTTCACTCTGGTCTGTGGAGACGTTACAGATGAGTGCATTACTTTTACTTATCACAATTATCTCTGATGTGCTGATACACCTGAAACAAATTAGTGAGAGAACAAACTGTGCACTTGCAGTTATGGTGTGACCTACCACATTTCTTAAGGTCACGAGCAACAGGATTTAATTCAATACCACTTAAACTGCTGTTATGTGGTTTTCTTCCAAGGTTTCACACTTTATGGACAAAACAGACAGGAAAATGGTGTCCAAAATGTCTCTATATGACCAAAGAACAGGTGTTGAAAGAAAGTGTTTAGTTTATAACAGTCAAACAAAGACTGGCTGTCTCACCACGACTGTCGCATTTTCCCAGGTTGCATCTGCGGGTTTGGATGGAGGGGCCACTGCAGGGGTTACTTGTGGCATCACATGACCTGCCTCTTTGCTGGGTGCCTGTTCCACATGTAACGGTACACTCCGTCCATTCAGACCAAGGCGACCAGCCATCTTCGCTGTCTTTAGCTGTACACACATAAATGTACAAGCACATTTAGCACTGCTAACTTTAGGCACAATTCACCTCATTCTAACCCCACCACACCCATCATGGTGCTCCTTGTTGCTAGTATATTTAAAAAGCAAAGGCAACATTGTTCTTTGCTTCTGATGTTTTGGAGCTTAAGTTATACATGACATCATCTTTCTCAACCCACTTCAGAGCATGGGAACATACAGTAATGCTTGTTACTCATGGATAATAAAAATGAGTGATTGGCAAACACAAGCAGTTTTAAAACAATAACAGTTCTGTACCATAAAATGAGGGAAAAGCTTCTCTGCAAAGCTGGCCTGTATAAGCTTCCGTTCAAAAGTTTGGGGTCGGTAAGATTTTTTTCATGTTTTAAAAAAAGCCTTATATGTTCACCAAGGCTGCATTTACTTGAACAAAATACAGTAAAAACAGCAATATTGTGAAGTATTCATTTAATATAATGGTTTTCTATTTTAATACACTTTAAAATGTAATTTATTTCTGTGATGGCAAAGCTTAATTTTTAGCCTTCATTACTCCAGTCTTCAGCGTCACATGATCCATAAATCATAATAATATGCTGATTAGCTGCTCAAGAAAGATTTCTTATTATTATTAGTTGAAAATGGCTGTGCTTGGGAGTGTTTTTCATTATTCTTTGATGAACAGAACATTTGAAGAATAGCATTTATCTGAAATAGAAATCTACTTTTTAACAGAAATGTATGTGTGCATCTGCCCCAAGACATGAATTTTAGGGAAATCCACTGGTATAAAACTAGCATGGACAATTTTTAAAAAACATTTCCACACAAGGTTAGCATGAGAAGCATCCCAAATTGGCTTTGATGTAAAATTCAGGTATTTAAATTACAATTCACACAAATGATATTAGCAAATAATTTTTTTTTTATTTCAGACAGCGCATCTCTAGATTGAATGTGCATACCCTGTAGACATGATGTGAAAATGAGAGTGTGAATATTAGCAATGTGTCAGAAATGTTACTCACGCAGACACACTGGACAGCATTCACCATCTAGGAAAGTGGGGCTGGCACAGGATACTGGAGGACATGAGATCTGATGGCATATGATCTTTGATTCCTTCAACATAAAGTCATAAAGCATAAAGAGTCAGAACAAAAGCAGACTGCCATTCGTTCTTTCTCTCCCATTCATCATACGTCACAATTCTTCCTACCTGACAGGTACACTTGGTGCAGCTGTCCACAACCCAGTCCTCCTTATCCTCAAAGAGACGGCCGTCTTGCCAGCACATGCGCTTGTCTTTGATGTTCTTCATGTTCCCCAGCACCTCCTTCATCACTGTGTTCTCCTCAGTCTAACCGACAGATGCAAGCAAGACGGACAAATGGTCAATGGGAGGCAATACTTCTGTCAATGTCTTCCACATGTAGATAAATAGAGGTGATTTAAACTGAAAGGGAATGAGCACACTTCTGTATAGAAGGGGATTTATGTCCTTGACCCCAAAGAACAGGATGCTCTGCCCTAGGAATTCTGGGATGATTTTCTCATTGTGACCTCTTGACCTGGGAAATAACTTTGCATTTTCTGCTATCAAATTGCCACGCTTTGGTTGATTTCCAGTGTTAACCTGTGGAAAATGATGAAGAACTTTGTGCTTCTTAAGGATTTCCATGTACACTACCGTTCAAATGCTTGGGTTCAGTAAGATTTTAAAAACAAGTTTTTGAGTTTCTTATGCTCACCAATTATGCATTTATTTGTAAAAACAGTAATACTGTTAAATATTATACTACAATTTAGAACGGTTTTCTATTTCAATATATTTTAAAATGTAATTTATTTCTAGACACCCCAATTGACATTTCTGGTTGACCACCATGCAGAAGTAAAGTGTCCTCAAGTAAATTTTGATCTACATGTAATTTACTTGTCTTATGCTTATGATTTGACATTTGCAACATAAATCATATTATTTTTCACTCATGCAATGTTTGAATGCAAAAATTTGTGATTTGTTCATCTTTGCCAGTTTCCATTTTCTGTTTTTCTTTCTTTCGTTTTAAAAAATAAATGAAAAAGAACACCCAAACTAGAACTTTATAGTCCTGAGATGTGTTAGCAAAAACTATCATGCATCTGTGGCCACGAGTAAAGAGTTGAGAAAGAGGAAAGAGACAGAACAAGAGACTGAGGGAAGGGAAAAAATTAACAAGAGGAATGCAAAAGGGGGGAAAAGGTTATTAACTTCTGAAGCACACTAAGTACATACAATAACACACACTAAAAACACAACCACATTCAGTGTGTGCTGATGAATTCATTTGTGCATGTGTGAGTGAGAACAAAATGCATAGGTAGCAGTCATGAGTGTTAGGCTGTGAAACAGAACACCACATGGTCTGGAAGAGCCTTTGGGACCCGCAGCATCCAGCGGCTGGATTTCCCAGAGATTAAGCCCAGACTCCCTCATCACTGAGAAGCTCCCAGTGGAGGATAAAGGGGCTGTTTAAACACTGCCAGACATGACTCGGTTCCTATTCACACTTCCTATCTCCCTCTAAAACAAACCATAAAACCCCAGCCCACATCTTCACGTTTTCCACTGCCTCTTTAGCCCTGTTTTCCTTTAATGGTTCTGTTTAGACTAAAATAATTGTTGCTTGCACGGTCAGATATTTAATCTGTAATAAAATTCTCCTAATCACAGATTGGCCACCAACCTAAACATTGGGGCTTTATGAAATAACGTGTACATTTCAGATCAACAAAACAAGCATTTTTATTCACCCACATGTTGTTCCATATCACGTTGAATGAATAAATGAAGCATTAGTATAGATACTAGCGTACGTTCAAATCGCTTCACTTTCTTTTTTTCCATGGAGCACATAGAGAAATTTTATGGTCACTCTTTTCCATGCAGTTACAATGAATGAGAATTGAGGCTTTCAAGGTGTTTTTCTCACACAAAGCTATCGTATGACTTCAGAAGATTTGGAGTATAGTGTACAAGTCGTATGGACTACTTTTATGAGACTTTTATGGTGCTGTTGTGACCTTGATGCTTGAAAGCCTCAGCCCCTATTCATTGCAATTGCATGGGAAAAAATATTTTACTTTGTGTTCTTTCTCAGTTTCAGATACTCTTTCAAATGAAACACATTAATTAAGTAAAACACATTTACCACTTTCTGCAAGCCATCGATGAGATTGCCCACAACAATACGGAGACCTTTGAGCTCCTGGACCATGTTGGTGATTTCCTCACAGGAACGCTCGCACACATCCGATGCCATTTTTTCCTTCTGCCCAATGAAGTTGGTAGAGATGGCCATACCAACAGACACAGTCTCTGTACTTTCATTAACCACGTTAACTTCCTCTGAGAGAGAAAGGTATGCAGAGTCAAAAAATGTAATTGTTTAAATTGTATTTTTTTTTTACTTCAGAAATGTCCCTAAAAATAAAGAGGAAGTAAAAGGGCTTTAATTTGAAATAATACATGCAAATTAATACAACATTAAAGTGGCCCCATAAGCCTTTACAATGAATAAGCAAAATACAGCAGCTATGTTTGAGATTTTATAGCGGTGCATGGATTATAAAACACTTAACAGATTTGTAGGATATTCCACAACCCACACACTTGAATATATCATTCTCTCACTATATTTCTGACATAAGTATAATAAATGCGTAGAAGCTACCCTGAAGTAACATTTAAGGAAAGATAGTCATTTTTCAAAGCAAGTCTTGGAAAAGGAGGAAGGTGGTGGGGTACGGGATACGCAACAGCAGAGGAATGCTGTCCATTGCGCCAAAACTCCCATTAGATATCTGCAGCCATTTTGGGGTCATTTGCGTAAATTTTCTCCAGATTAATGGAGGACAGGAGACAATAAATCAAGAGCTATGTTGTTACCTCCAGAGGTTCCTTTGAGACTCATGCAGGGTTAGCAGCTTTTTAGAGACTGTTGAACTCGTTCAAATCTCTTGGGGTTTTCAGTCAACGCTGGGAAAATGAGTGTGTGCGCGTGTCTGTTTCAGCGACTTTCTAGGCAGGCTTTTGTGCAGTTCACTTTAACTTTTATTTAGCAATACGTGGCACTCCTAAAATGGGGCACTAGAGAGTTTATAGAGACCTCTGTACTGGCATCCTAACGCTCAGCAGCTGCCATGTATCCATGTTGGCAACGGAAATGGAAGCCTTTTTGACTGCACATATCCTATGCATACTTATTCAATTTTAATTAAAAGGAACTGAAGCAGCAGTGCTAGAGAAACACTCACACCCTCACATCTCACACAAGGCTTAGTTTTGTCACGGTCTAAAACTTATTACTTATTCCAGCACAAAAGTCAGCCAGCTCTAGGGATAAGTTTATAATAGACTCAAAAGTCTTCTCTGCATTAAACTGTAATCCAGCAAGGTTTTTTTTTTAATCAAATATCAAATTTTATATTTAAATTTTTTTTCCATTATAATATACATTTAAAAAATACATTTAATTTTTGTATTTGGTGGAAAAAACATTTATATCGTTCATTCAAATGTACTTTTTTTATTTTTATTTTTTATTTTTTGGTGGGGCAAAAGAATGGATTCTGATGCAAAACATTATGGATTAAAATTGCAGCAAGAACACAGTATACATAATAGAAATCCAAATGATTCCAAAGCTGTTTGCAAGGTATAAAAAAGGATATATAGGAACAAAAAAAGTAAGATTGCCACTGGTAATGCAACTCTAATCCACAAAGGGCAAGTGAATGTTTCAAAAACTGGTCCAAAGAGTGTTGAGCCCTAGCTGGAAACCAAAGCTTTCAGTCAAACCAGCCAGTTTGTGATCTTACTAGTGTGTGTATAAAATTATGAGTATGTACTTATTCAATTTTTCCACCTTCTCTTAAAGAACACCCTGCCAATGTATATGACAATATTTATTCTCTTTATGGCATGTGCAAACTGGTTGACCCTTATACCACCACACTAACACAAGCATTTCCCATAAACTTGATGTAATATGGTCAGAAATTTCCACAGCTCTGATCTGCAGATTTCGTGACCCACTTAGGTGAAAGCCAGAAAAGCTTAAAATGAAAACTGAATCCAACGGAAAACATACCAACCCTCTTAAAACAAATTTGATCATGAACGACACATAATAAATCCAATAGAGCTTCTGAAACCTAGAAGATTCAGGAGTTCAAGCATTATGAGAGCCTAATCTGAGCCCTGAAGCACTAGTCCAACATTAATAAGCCAAAGGTCATAAAAGCAGACTCTTAAAGTGAACATGCTTTAAGAACTTTCTGTGGTTTTCCATGACCTTTAAAGTTTTCACGTTTAAGAAGTATGAATGAATACTTACCAGGTTTGGCGATCACACAACCTTTGTTTCTTAGGATGTTCTCTATTGGTGTGTCAAAAAGGAACTGTACATTCTGTAGTAAACCCTGTAAAATGACAGAGATTATTACCAGTCAATTATAATGTCAAACTGAGAAAACGTATGACCATTTTCTTCAATCAGATTTAAATTGCCACAACTGTAGTGAATTTGTAGCATACAGTCCACATTAATCAAGAACACTGTTCCTATAAAATATCTATCTATCTATCTATCTATCTATCTATCTATCTATCTCAAGAAACAAAAATACACATTTTTATATTAAAATATATATAATAAAATTTTAATAATATTTTTGTCTTTCTATTATATATAGATTGATAGACAGACAGACAGACACAGACAGACAGACACAGACAGACAGACATAAATCATTTTACCATTTTATTTAAAAAACAGTATAGAATTTCTCGATACTCGAAAAAGGATTTTCTTCCCTTTTTCACAGCACAGAAAAATCCTTATGCAGGAATTCCATAACAAGCAGTGAATGAAGTTCAGATGATGTTCATCGAGAAGAACTGCTCTTACCCTGAAGTGGTTTTCCCTGATAGATCCCTTGGCCACAAACATCTGACTGCCCTCCGACCGCAGATGTTCATAGAAAGGCTCATCCAGGATCACGCTGTCAATGAGGCTACAGCCTACGTAGAGGTGAGCGTTCTCTCCGTGAATGTACAGCGTAATGTTCTTCCACTGCGAATCAGACAAGTCCACATCCTCAAAGGACACCACATTCTGAGATCCCCTGACCATGTAGAGTAGATCCAACGTGTTGGCACGCCCATTGGACATAATCTCAAACTGACGATAGATAAATCATTTTACCATTTTATTTAAAAAACAGTATAGAATTTCTCGATACT